TGATTGCAAGTGGGGTTCTCAAGACTGTCGAATTTGCCAGTGGAGTAATCACGTTTTTATTCACTCGAAGAACTCTCGATGGTGGTCATGTAGTGCGGGATCATGCGAAAGTGTATTAATCTGTTATGTTGCGATCTGTTGCGTCACTTCGTCTATGTGTGTATGTTCGGACGTGAGTCTCTCTTGGATCTGACGAGTTTTTAATGAGATATGGTTTGAATGGATCGATTGGTAGTAATATTTTGATGCTCAGATGTTGAGCAGAGATTAAAGCTTTAGGATGTGTTACACTAGGAGTTAAAGAAAAGTTCACTCGAAGATGAAAACATAAACTCTGAAGATGAGAGATATCAATAATGATTCTACTCTCCTTCATATAGCTCTCACTAAGAAGTACAAGGAGATAAAATCTTATCCCCACCATCCATCCCACTCCTAGTGGATGGATGACGTGGCAGATAATCCTAACAAGCACACAGATTGCTGACGTGACGCTCCCAACTAACACATTCAGTCTTTATCTAACAAGCACACAGATTGCTGACGTCGCACTGTCAACTAACACACATACTCTCTACCTACCAAGCGCGCGGATCGTTGACGTGATAGCTATGACTAGTGCGAGCTAAAATATCTATATCAACATTTAAGGTAACTTCTACTTTAGTTCTAACAAAAGATGATTACAGTTACTTGGTAAGGCATGAACCTTTATTTTATCTTAACTTTTACTTTGTCTACACCACTACTATCTACCTTTACCCTTTATATCTATCTCAGGATAATTATCCAGCTACCTAGTACAAATTCTTGAAAGTTTAAAAATTACCTTTATCGTATAAACTTTTAGGATTACTTGGTAAATCTACGTTTTAGAGTAAAAATAAAGGCAATAGGGTAATTTATCCGTTTAGTAAACGGGTAAATACTAACCATAGCCAGACGCACGTACTTTATTTTTGAGCTCTATGGATCAATTATCATATTTTTGCTTGACACTAATCGAATTTGCCATCTCTAACAAGGAATGAACAATGGTCGTGTCCATGCCATTCTGGTCTCTTTTGTCATGCCCCTACTTCTGTTGGCAGTTCGGCAATCTCATGTACAACAGAAGGATGTCGTTGCTCGATGTACTTGCTACTTCTGTTGTGATTGCTGATTTCGGTTCGATCTTGATTCCATCTCTATAAAACTGTTCATCAAAATTGTTGGCCATGAGAATTATTGAATGTTATTGATAACAAATGATATATCTTTGTCATGTTTTGCTACAACAACATCTTGAACTAATTTCTTTTGCAAGATGAAAATGTAATTGTCTTGCATTTTCCTGTCCTACATCAGCTTGTGATATATTTGATCTTTTATTTTGATTCTCGATTGATTCTTAATAATCTTTAGTTAACATATTGGTTGCTGAAGCTCGATCTCCATGTCATATATGAAAAGTGTGTTTGTGATAGCAGGCAAAATTCTAAACTTTTCGTACTTATCATTAATCAAACAAAAAATGAAAAAACGATAATTCCTAGAAAAAGAAAGTGGACATCTGATTACAAAGTTTAGTATCTTACTTTCATTCAATCCTAAGTACATCAATCATCATCCAAAATAGCAAGCAAAGAAGCAACATGCATACTTTGGAGGTAAATTGGCACCTTTTGAGACCGAAATGATACAAGATTGTAATCAATCAAAACAGACGTGAACAGCACGCAAAAGCAAGCAATCAAAACTATTGCCTACAAGTAAACATCACTTTCCAATACCAGTTTAGCACATTAGATGTTCAGGTACTGCAAGTCAACTCCTAGACTACATATATGTCTTGATCAGTTTAGTTGTCACGAGGAGAAATTCAAGGCCAAGGCGCTCAGATTCTTAGGATTTTTGAGAATTTTCCTACGTCGTCCTTGCGAGCCTTGGCCATTACTGGGCTCCGTTACCTATTTTGTTCGCCGTAGGCTTGTCTACCAGTTGAACTCAATCTCATGAAGCTGGGTTTCATCGATCTCATATGATTAACAATGCGTTGACGTGTTGCTAATTAAGTAGCACTTTTACCGTCCGGATCCGCCATAAGGTCCACATCCATATATGTATCTGCAAAAACGTTAATAACAAGGAGCAAAAAGAAGCACAGAGAGAGAAGAATCCCTTCAAATTTTATCATGATGTATACTCATATTAGAAAGTATTCTAGGGACTTTCGATCTGGAGCAAAGACAAGCTTGCGGAGATCGAACAGTATGAGGTTCTCACCGTTCACCTCATCCAGTCCCCGTAACGAGATCGCATGCTTCAGCCAAATCGCACATAGGAATCCTTAATCGCTTCACATGGAACAATAATTCACTGCTCGAGCCCAAATCGCACCCCTGCAAGCTTAGGTGCCAACTTCCTCCGAGCGCTACTACTTCGTTACCGGCATCGACGACAATTCGACCATGAACACTGCACGATTCATCGATGAATTATTCAATAGTAATAGTAATTTAATTTTGCAATAATAAAGTATTATTAGGTAATTACCGAATAATCCATTTACCTATTACCTTCCTTATAGCCCAACCTTCAACTTTTACCCTTTTATTGAGTAATTCTAAAAGGTTACCTTGCCTTGCCTGAGTCCTAGTATAGTTGAATGCATTGCAAAACAGTCTGCTCACACCTATTCTACCACAACCTATGTTGGAATACAATACCAACTCGACGCGAGTTGGTGATGCTGTAACACTGTACGAGCTCAAAAAGATTTACAAAAAGAATTACTCGAGACCAAGGAATGATATTCGGTCTAGTAGAAGAAAAATATCATGAAATGAAATTCAATCTATTATAAAAAAGATACCACTTCACTAGGTGCTAAAAGATTGGGCTCGGCCAAAGAAAGAAAGTTGTTAATCATTCAACTAAAACGAAGTACTTTTGGATAAGCTTGCTCTACAAAGAGAAAAAATATCTTAGACAAAGATGCGTGTTACAAAGGATCATAAAATAATAACAACTTATCTAGAGCATGATTGGATTGACTATAGTATTATCATACTTGTAACTTTGGAATTTAAAGATACAAAACTTATTTAGAGAATGATTGGATTGACTATACTATTATCATCTTTGTAACTTTGGAATTCAGACGAATCAGTATTACTTCATGTTCTGAGGTGGTAAATGTTGACATGAAATGTTAAGAAGAATTTTGCTCAACATTTCTCTCTTTCACCTCTTGCAATCCCCAAGATGTTCAGCACTAAATCTAAGATTGCAATTATGCAATTGCAACCCACGCGTAAGTCAAAATCATGAGTTTTGTTTATATTTCAAAGTGTACATCAACTCCCAACTTCATATCGATCAAACGCTCCAATTACATTAGGCAACCAAGCATCAAAATAATCAAAAAAATTTAGAACTTCAACCAATATATCCGTTCAATCTACTTCTCCATTACAAAAGGCCTTTTTTCAGCTTTCAATCTTTAAATCTCTGCATCTTTGCACATCCAAACAACCTTCATTTATTATGCATCTTGAGAAGAGTTAGTTCAGCAACAACTCTTCTCTCTTTTAATCCAGTGTTAGCTTTCCTTCCAGTGTCAACTACTTGCATAGGATCGAAAAGTAATATATCTTCTAAAGAGTAAAATTTTTCCATGTAAAAAGGTAGATTCCGCATTTCTTTTGTTCAAATTGAGAGATAGTTTATAATAACATAATTTTTGTAAGATGTTAAAAGACAAATATACTAGATTATTGCAAATACAAAAAGATATTTTTCTTCTCCTCAACAAAAATATGGAACTTTAGGCTAATATTAATTAGTGCAAAGATGTAGGAGCTCAGAAATATCTAAATTCCACTCACCCGATTATGTTTTCTTGTGTATTAAGTGTTAGAATTCAGTTATTGAGTGGTCATTTGCTTCAATTTCCCAAGGAGTACTTTGTCAATATCCTTGTAGAGTATCTGACAGCACAATAAATCCTCAGAGAATAGATTACTCTATAAATGCTGGCGACGGTCTGCCACTGCTGAAATCTTGTGCACGTGAAAAAAAATTCGCGTGCAAAATACGACCACAAGTTGTGTGAAAATTTTGAAAGTTTGCCATGAAGATTGATATGGAACGACGATAGTCAAATGAACAATTTTCGCCTCAAATCCGCATGGACAAATTAGAGGCTCAATATCACCTGGAGAATCTGCCGTGTGCACAGATGGAGGTGGTTTAATGCTGGGTGTCTATATTCTCGCGTGCAGCGACAAAGCCACCAACCATGAATAGGTTCATGTGGACAAAGATGATACACACAATCAGTCTCAGACTCTAGACAGACAAAATGTGATCACGAATACACATTAATCAGTTGGAGCATTTGAGATCTGATTGAACAACACGTCAGATGACACCATGTCTTAATCTTGGGATAAATATATCTGCACGATGTGGCAAAGTGTACCGAGTACCTTAAAGTTCTGAAATTTACAACCTTGAGAAACTTGTAGTCTCCTTTTCAGTAGTTTAACTAACCTGTGTCTCATCAGATTTAATCTGCGCGGTGCGAATAGAGTCATTGCTAAAATTTACCCGTAGCGCGGGGTACTGTCAGACAAAAAAGGAAAAAAAAGAAAAAAACCTGACAGGAAAAAACTGACAAGAAACTGACAAAAAAAGGGCTTTTGGAACCCCAAAGCTTTCTGGGAGAGGGCCGAAGGAGGAAGAGAAATTCATTTACATGCTAGAGATTTATCTTCATTGATTACAACAAGGGCTTTTACGGTCAATTTGGTCCTGTGACTACTGATTTTCTGGAGTGACTGAAAGGGGGTTTAAAACCTTGGTATGAAAGAAACTCCGTCTTCTATGATCTAGAGAGATGTGGTGAGCGGAGTGATCATGTGGAGCTTATAAAGCAAACTGTGAAATATCTTCACAGTGTCTTGAGACGGTGCACTCCACGGTCTTCACACACATACACGACGCTAATCACGCGACACCAGTTCCGCACATATTGAGAAAAGGTACAGCAACAATAAACTCAACAACTGAAAATAACTTTTTATTGGATGAACTCGGTGACTCTTCTGATTGACTGACTCAAAATACACATGGAAGAAGTGCACACGTCTAAGCTATGTAAAATTTGAGATTTCAGAATCTACACAGTAGGGAGAAATTACATACTACATCAGCCCTCATGGATCTCATCGTCCACCGGCTGCAATTGCGATCAGCAGATAAAATATCATTCCGAAGTAGAACTAACGATCCATCAGGACAATTAACGTGGCAGCAAACGCGAGATCAACGCCTGGATGAATAGCAACTTTCATTTTCTTCTCTCCCTTTACATGCTTAGCCTGCAAAATCCACGAACTCGTGAGAATTTCCATAACTGTTCTTGTCAGCGACAATTGCAGCACTTTCGTCTCATGCGACCTTCACCTCATGTTGTAGGGTAAACTTGAAAGTCCAATGCAGTACACTCAAATCAGACACTTAGGATCATACTCAACCAAGATACTGATGTTCCTCGTTGAATGAGAGAAGGATGATCTCGAATTGAAACGGATCATCTTACTGCCAGAGCAACATTTACTGCGAAAGGGTGGAAATTCTTGTTTGAGCCTTTAATTGGCAGGGGATGGAACGAGAAAGCTGAGTCTGGGTGAATAAACTGTGGACAAAGAGTTTGATGTTGGGACGATTGTCGCTCGACTCGAACATTAGTTCTGGAATCTTCTCATGATAGGAGAGAGAAGTGCCAGAGCTAGGAGTTCCGCCACAGGATAACTCGTTATATTCGATGAGAAGCATTTGCTATCCAAAGCATCTGCGATTAGGGATTGAGAAGATTGGGTCATTTTCTGATGACAAGGGGATCATTTCTGATGTCCGTTTTGAGCAGACTGGCTTGGATGTACAATTCCATGCAGCTCAGGGTCCCATAAAATATTCATGACTCTCATGACTTTCACTTTGTTCTCTTGCCGAGTGCACTGACTTTTACCTCCGCAGTGCCACTACCAATGTTTGACACAGCGAGAATCTAGGTGTCTCTTCGACACAAAAAGCCCTTTCCTGGTCACCTCGATGTCATCAGTCTACGGCATGAACAGAATCAAAGATTTTGATGTTGTACACCCGCGGAATTATTCCATAGCAAAGCCTTTCATTGTCTTTATCGAGCAGGTTTCTCTCCTTCAAGATAAAAAGTAAGGTTGCCCGGATGAAATGTACAAAAGTACTCTTGCAATTCATGCGGGCAACTTCATTTGTTCCACATTAGGGCATCTGAAGTGCCCTCCTCTCTTACTTGGCCAATTCCAAATCATCGAAGAATACTGTCGAACTCAACCTAACAGGTTTCAATTGAGTTGACCGATTCACTGCTGAGACGCAAGTGACGGCAGTGCAAGGATGACAAGGAGCAGTCGAATCTTAGTACCGGACAAGTCAATTGACTCGCACCTACTTCTCGTATAATTGAGAGCTTGCAGTGAGGTAGCAGAAAAGATTTGGACCGTTTCCTTCCCGACGGGACTGAAGGATTTCCCCAACTTATTGGAGGCAATTCCGACAGATGTGGCAGCCACAGATTGAAGCTTTTGAGCAGGCACACGAAATGTGCCGGTGGGTTTCTAGTGGTTGTTCTTTAGGAGAGACTGATATAATTTCCTACGACCCCCACTGTGTGGGTCCACTTTCTCGACTCAAGTGAATTGAGGATATACGACCAACGATTGAGACGACAAGGAAGCAGGGCGGGCAGTTCTTACAAGTTTCAACACGAGAGGAAGCTGTTCCATACTATGGTCAGCTACGGTCAGTCCACAATGCAAAATTATGAAAATTTGTGCGTGATTGTCCAAATTCGGCTGCGGCCCAGTGACAGAAATCAAGATAAGGCAATGTACTGGGCCACAATGCACACTGCACAATGGAGGGAGCACGAATTGAAATCGCATCAACCATCTTGAGCAACTGCTGGAGTCGGTCGACTCGAAATCGGAAGGCGTACCTCTACAATCGACTTTCTATCATCGTCTTTGTAGTACACATCGAAACTTCGATGACGGCTCCTCTCTTTCTTCACTATGAAGTCCGGCTTATCTCTGTTGGTGTTCGTGGCGAGGAAAACACTGAAATGTTTTCTCCCCGTATGCGTGAATGTGTACAGATAACTACTTTTCTCGCACTTTTCTCCCAGATAAACCTTCCAAGTGCGCCTGAACGCCAGATACTGCAAAGCACATCGGTGTACGCAATCTTCGTGAACTCACAATCACAGCTTTCAGGCCTCATGAACTGCAGAAGAATCGACCCCGAAACTGCAAGCGATGTTGGATTCAGACAGAGCGAGCGAGCACTTGATCAATAGATCACGTCAGCAGGCGAGAAGTTCCAAGGAAGTACGTACCTGCTGTCTCAAAAACACGAGCCCATTCCCGGAGATATCTCGCACGAGAATGCTGCCATGCCCGGTGCTCTCCACGGTGAAAGGTCGTTGAGCATGATCGTTCTCGATGGTGATCTCCTCGCCGCACCACGACCAATGCTTGTTACTCTCCACGGACAGACATAGCGTCTCGGACACCACGTACTGCGCGCTCACCACCTCCGGCACGTCGACAAATCCCGACTTGGGCGTTTCATCCAGATCCTGCTGCAACTTCATGTCGATTCTGCTTCTCAATCTTGGAAGTCTCAACCGGCTCGAGCTGCCGAACCCGAACCCGACCTCGACCTCGACGTCGGAGCGAGCACTAGGGTTCACGATTTCGATGCACTCCTCGTCCGCATACTGGAAAACAGCTGGAGAGGTAATTCTTCGCCGGCGTATGAAAAGTTAATTATCCGCTAGGTATGGCAGTGCGTCTAGAAAAAGACTCGGCCCTCGTGGCCCTGACCAAAATGGTATCCCGACGCTCAATCAATGTTCTCGTCCGCGCCGGGGTTTCCGTTTCCGAGGGATCTATTCTATACGCATTCAATGTCGTCCGGAGTTTGACCTCGCCCTCGCCCTCGCCCTCGACCGCGACCTCAAGTTGAGCATCCCGAATCCCTTCGACGCACAGTACTAACTCGATGCATCGCCCTGCCAGGATACGATGAATGAAGCCAAGAACGAATGTCGAGGCCCGATTTTGTTTCTATTGTCCCAGTTTTGTTTGATTTCGTCTGATTTCCGCACTGCCTGGAGGCGTAGAAGGAATGCCACCTGCTGTATCGAAGGCCGCAGGACAGAAGCCGATACGGATAGACGCAGAGGAAGAGTACGGAGGAGGAGGGATGGCGAGGAGGCCGGGGAGAGAGGAGAGCCAGACGATTGTGGGCGGGCGGGCGCCATGGGCGCTTTCTAGATTCACACGATCGAGGCGAGGCAGTCAGCGAATGGTGTGTGTGCGCTTCCGAGCCAGTCAGTGAGTGGGTTAGTTGTTCGCTCACTCACTCGCTCGCTCGCTCGGTTGATGTGCATTATCGGACAACTGGATTTTGGATTTGTTCGGGCGGAGTGCGAGATGTGCACATCGACATGATTGCTGCACTGTGGACGCGCCCGGCTGCGGGTGCACCGCGACGGTGGCCAGCCAGCGGTGCGGAAAATGCAAAGACACAGGTCGCCATCTCGTCCCGCCCGCCCGCCCTCGCGGTCGCCTGCCTCCTCGTCGGCTCGTGTTTCTTGCCTTGGGTGCAGTGCGTCGATCTTTTGTTCGGCCACGCGAACCCGGGATTCTGCAACCTCGCCCAGGCTCTAATCGAAGCCAGTGGAAGTTTCGATTCGTTGCTAGCGATGGCGATTGACCGCGAATCGAAACCAACCTCAACCCGTGGGTTACGTTCGGCATCCAAAGCGCGAGGCGTCGAAACCATCGCTGATGGTGTCGAAATAGAAGCTGTGCCAAATCGATGTGGAGGATCACAGCACACGTACCGCTGCTGTGATTCTTCCACAGGCGGATGGTGAGCCCAGCCCTCCGGTTCGCGCTTTGTTTATCTCGTTCGTGGCCGACGATCAGCTGTCCAAACCGCTCCTTCATGGCCGGAGTCTCTGTCGACTTCGGGCCTCCATGGATGCCCTCACCTATCGAGGCCTCGACTACGACGAATATCCGTGCGGATGTTCTATCTTGCCATGATTTTTATGGCTTCCTGAGTTTACAACGACATGCTTCTTCTTTCGTCTTTCTTCGTAGATATTTGAGATGATCAGAACCTGGGAAGCAGAATTGAAACGTATACATCTTGCACGCGACATCCGCTGGGACGAGCAAGATCACACCAACATCTGGCATCGAAAGCACAGGTTTTTGTTGATTATCGCTTGTGTTTCGATTGGATTCGTCCGATAGGTTCATCCGTTCCCGACTGTCCTATCGGGATTTCGTGGACGTGATTCATTCATTCGTCCGGCCTCCTCACGGTGCCATGTGCAAGAAGAGAGCATGCCCGTCGTTGCTGAGCCTCGTGTGCCAGCTGCAAGGCATCCGGACTGGGGATTGCAATCAGCCCTTGAACTCCGAGGGCGTCAAGGGTTAGGGTTTAGGGTAAACTTTCTCTGGTGAACCCACTGCGTCGACAGCCGTGTGCCCCTCGACAGACACAGACAGATATGCTCGAGGTCGGTGATGAGAACCTCCCCGAAGGATTTGAGACTGTGGGAAACAAAATCGTCTTCTTCGTGGATCACGCAATTTCTATTAGAAAATAAAGTGCATCGTCACTTCCATGATGAACGACGAACTGTTGTGACACTTTCTGATGTCGTCAGTTCCAGTCAAGGAGACTCAAGTTACAGACATTCGAGCACTCCATCATGAGTCGTCTTCCGATCAACAACGAAACCCGGACGAAGTGTATTTGTGGGCGGATGGGAAATCTACGAGCCAGAGGACTGCTCTTGGCTCTGACTGAGCCTGTGAAGGCATATGCTAGCAGCACAGATGGTGTCCGAGAAATGAATGCAGTAGCTCTAGTGATCAGTGAGCTCTTCTAGCCGGCGTTACATGTTGCATCCGAACCTTTCTTGGTTTAGTGTTCTAAGAAATCCGAATATTTTGAATCGATTTAGGTTGGAAGGCAGAGCGAGGAACCCCACTTCTAGAACCAGAAGATACCCATTTCCATGGAACTACTTCTGATGGGGACCGAAAGTCATAGTATTCAGTAGTTCATGGTTGGAGTCGGGTCCAAGTGGAAGTCTTGGACCCGACTCCAATTGCACTGAATACCTTGAGCTCTGGATATCAGCACTGGATCCCTCGAGCTCGATTGAAGTTTCTGATTGGAAGTTCAGAAGCGTGCTTTGTAACTTTCCACATGACATCTTGACTGCGCATCCGCTCTGAGTCCCAACACGTGTAACACAGGAAGCACAGCTGAGCGCCATTTTCAGTTTGCAATTTCAGGTTGCAACATTTATCAGATGTTCACTCGTGAGGAGAAAATCTCCCATCGCCTTCGAAGCGTCAAAATTAAGATTTTCATCGATGATATTGAAGGTTGATGACACGGTGAACACCGAATCAACTGAGTGAAATAAGGCTATATGTCCGTAACAACACCCTGCTTAGTGGGCAGTGGTGGAGCTAAGCCGAGTGGAAAAGAAGAAGCTTCTTTGTCCCTTGACACAATTGGTCATATCCAATTAAAGTTTATCCTTGTCTAGTTTATTTCACTCTGAAACCTCGGTAATCTCAGAGAAATACAGTAGCAGTTTGAGCCAAAGCGTGTTCTTTCACCTCAGATTTTGGGCCACTAATGTTTCTCGTTACTACACCTATTAACTTTGCCTTCGCTAATTGCTAAGTTGTCCCTCACTGCTCTCATGGCCTTGTGATTCTGCTCCACTGCTTCTCTTTGCAACTAATACTGGATAACCCGAAGGCAACAGCTTTGGTGGCAAAGATGGCCAGTCCTCGCTGTTGCAGAGAAAGGGGCGCGCCGTTCAGCCTATGCCTGAAAGATGCTCGCATCCAGATTCCAGAGCAGAAGCGTCCAGTCAGTTGGAAACATTTATTACTCGATGCTACGATTGACTGATGCAGACCGAGAACCAAGTTTTCTACCGACAGGGCGAGCGAGCTTTACAATTCTATGTGAAACCAACCTGGACTTTCTCCGAAGGTCCGCAGTTGCTTGCTTATTCCTGTGCAGACAGCTTTTGAGATTACCTTCTCTGATGTCGGTCGTGAGCCTCGTGCAGTGGTCTCAAAAGCTATTATTCAGTGGGTTTGTGAAGTGACCCAGACAGTCGAGCCTACTAGACCTTTTGACGAAAAGCTGCGTCTACTCTGCGTAGGTAGTCGTCAGATCTCGAACATGGTAAGAGCGCATTTCCAATCAGGACATCAACCGAAGGTTGTTACTGCACGAGTTGATAAGTATCGTGATCCCCTTGTGGAGTTCTGCTCGAGACATCCAAAGCAGAACTTTGCGTTCTACCAGCTGAGATTCGTTTGCTCCTCACTGTTCTCTTGGCTTTCAGTCCGTGCGACAGCAAGGACCTCGAGATTGGAGCTGTGGTGGTCAAGACTCGACTGGAAGGGCCACTTCACGTGCCGAGCTGCCACCCCTCCCTATCACCTCATCTGATCAAAGCTCCATTCAAGCTCAACGATCCGTCAGGCTGACTGAATCAGGTTTAATCAATCAACCAATTTCAGAGTCACCGAACAAGACAGATGACAACTTTCAAATCCGTCTTTTTCCTCTCGAACTGTGCCATGTCAGATCGGTCATACTGGCAACAGGTCTGCCTCGGTTTCGTCCATCCCCATCGCTTTCGTCTACTGTAAACTTTGATATGAGCCACCATTTTAGCAACATTAAACATATGCCAAATGGGAAAGATTGAACTTGGGGGCATATCACCTTCATAGCAATGATTGACCTTTGGCCGCCTAAGTTCTCTTCCTACTGTTGCCGATAAAATTCATCTCGTTATCAATAAGACCTCGAGGGGAGTCAAAGGCCAAGCCAAACCTAAAAGTGAGCGCTCAAAGTTGAGACATGAGCGGACTGCGACTTTGGCAACAAGGCAGGCCCCGAGAAGATAACACACCGCTGAACGAATGGGGCGTACTTGGAGCTGGAGAAGATTGATGTCAGTCTCACACGAAACTAATCGGAAGATCATGGAAGTATCTACTGTACTGTGGAACTCAGTGGCCTTCTTTGCCCGTGCTGATCGTCGCTCGGTGCCATGACTTGGAGACTCTATATAGCCGAGCCTTCCCCAAGCCCAGCTCTGTCATGTTTATGATGTGGATTCGAATTTGATTATGATCAGAGTCATGATTATGATTATGATTTAAAACATGGGGAAGCGTGAATATCTGCAAAGCGATTCTTGGCTGGCTGGCTGGCTGGCTGGCTGGAGGAGCAAAGGAGATGTCAGTGAAACGACAGCAAGCTGCTATGGGACCTGGCGGGTCTAGTCCTGAAAGTCCTGATGGTCATGTGTACAGGAATGGAGCGGCTTCTTCTGCTGCTGCAATCGCGGTGCCCCAAAAAGCCATAGCTTGAATTTTCGTGTCCTGTATCTACAAGGCTGACTATGCTGATGAATGTAGGCCACAGTGGCAGGAAAGCCATACCTTGACCACTAGTCTGCTGTGGATACGCAGCTAGTGAACGAATGACTGGAGGCTCCAGATTCCAGTCGTGCCAAAAGGGGCTTTCAGAGGTGCATGCTGAACCTTTTTGCGCCAGAAAAGTTCTTCATGATTCTCCTAGCCATGGGTTTCCAGCTTTACTGTTAAGCTACCTTCTCGACTCCATCAAGCGGATTTGCACCTGCTGTGCGCGCCTGCACTCATCGAAATTTCTCTCTCGATATCCAAAGCAATAGTGATACAACTGTTTGCACATTAAAGTCCTAGCTCAGGCAGGGAGGAGGCGAGAAAAGCCCTTTTCTGTACCTGAGCGTTGAAGATCATGAATTCCGAGGTGAATAGTCTTGAGTGGATGAGGCAACGTTGCAAGTGCAGTCCAAGCCTCGAAGGTCACACTCTCTGCTGTGTCTCAGTGAGAGAGTGAGTTTCAGTCCCACCAGATCTGGTTCTGGATTGCGTTGGACTTTGGGTGCGGTGAATGCATCCATGTCAGTATGACCTGAGCTCGCTGGCTCACCAGCGAACTAGGAACTAGGAAGTTAAAACTTCTCTCTTATGTTAGGTAGACACTGCAATGGTAGAATTTCGTATTGCTACATGAAGTAAACCAGCTCTCAGGAATCTTGGATTTAAGTTAATCGGGCTAAAAGATTCAACCGAAAACACAGGAAACACAGGACCTTGTGTTCAGTTCAAGTGTCAAGCGAGCGACAGTTCATCTGAGAATCCTCTACCATGAGAGGAATCTACCTGCAGTATCATGAGATCCCATGTGGCGCACGGTTGAGTCACCGAGAACCTTTCAGCGACGCCAGTCCCAGTTAATGAACATGCAAATTTGGAGTATAATACTCGGCAGCGAATGCCACGTTCAGGTTGCGATCGAGGAGCTTTGGTGGGAGTTGTGCATATGTAGCCAGCTTGTGGATGCTGGAAGCTGGCGCTGTTCCATCAACTTCCATCATTTGGCTAATCGTTGACTGATCTAACTTGGAAACTGAGACAAGATTCTGAGATTATCTTTCACCTTTGGGCAAGGACAACATGATAACCTCCAAACCGTAGAAGGATTTGCCTTGTCCTACGCATGCGAGCAGCTTGCGGTTGGGAACTTGGAACTTTGAGTGGAGACCATACTCTGATCCTGGGAAGAAACTAGTCTACCACGACCTTCTCCGATACGCATGCACATTGATGACTGCATGAACAATTTGAATCCCCTCTGCAGTACAGGTGTGTTACTCTGGGAGCCCACTGCTTCGTTATCTCGTCATAAGATTCTGTAACCGAAGTATACCCCAGCTTCGGTTTCCACGGAACAGCATGATTAGATTGACAGTCAGAGTAGCCGGTGTGTTTCCAGGGTAGAAATGAGTCAATGCGAGCCAGTCTGGAAGTCTATCTGAGCAGATTTATGAACTTTTCGGTGTGTTACTGACTCAGAGTCATATGTAAATCTAAATAAATAAATAGATATATATATATATAGAGAGAGAGAGAGAGAGAGAGAGATAGATTATTATCGTATGCGAGGTATCGAAGGGGGACTTCTATATAGCTCCCGGTGGTACAGTCTTTCCTGAGGAAATCATTCGTGCTATTGCAGATTCGTTGGGAAATTATGACAGAGGAACCATATATAATTGAGGTCTTTTTGGCGCTCTCTCCCTTCTCTTCCAGCATGAGAATTTCCGCTGTTTCTCTCACGACCATACACAATTACGAGAGAAAGGGATAGAGAAGTAATGGTCGGTCCAATTATTATATCATAATACTTTCCTGGGAGCAGTGTTCAGCTAGATCTACCTCTCCATCAGACTATCCGATTGAAATGTGGAACGGAGGTAGGGCTGAAAGTTTGCACATTGTATAGAGCTGAACATTATTACATGCGTTCTTACCTCGGCCCGGCTTCACGGAAGAATGTTCCAGAGAGGTTCCTCTTTCTGAACAATGTTTTGTTTAGCCGGGTTCACTTGACAATGATAGCTCAACCCCACATATTTGTCCACGTCATGATTCTGTCTCCTTCCAAACTCTGAGATGCAACGAATTGTGTCAGGATGATATCATTCGTCCGAGGATAGAAAGGTACCAGATTTGCGCTGATAGTGGACCCACATATTCATGCAGCAGCCTGATAACAATCGAATAAAACTTACAAGCGATAATAAGAAAGACATCCGTTCCGATGCCCAAGAGTGTTCAACAGTTATCCAAATCTTGTGATGCTGGGGAATCTCTCGAGACTGCTCATCATTCCACCATCGAGTGCACATTATTTGTAGAAGTATTTGAAGTACAGTGCGGAGGAGTACATGTCAAGCAGGTGAGCTCCTGTTCAACTTTTTGTGTGTACAGTCGAGCGAATCTTGTGAAAGCGGTGTCCATGGCCAGTTGTACTCCTAAGGTCTTTGTTAAAGTATGTCTTTCTTCAATCCTGGAAATCTTTTTCTGTATACAACAGTGAGCTGTGTCTGCCATGTACTTTTAAGAGAATATCAATATTATAAATTCACTCCTGCTCCGCGGACTCTTGTGGTTGGCGTTCACTCCACTCTAATACATAGACCTCTTATTGCTTCGTCAAATTCTTCGTTCATGAGATTACGATTCCGAGTAACAAAGATCTCAGATATCAATCGACTGTCCATGCGATTTCGAATTCGATTGGAAAGTATCACAAATATCTATCGACTGTGAGCTGTAATGCTTTCTAACGATTTGAAACTCTGAAAACTTGCAAGTGATTCTTTCCGCATGCCACCAACTGCATGTCTTCCACCGTACTCCTGATCTAGAATCTCAAGCTCTTACTGGAGCACCAAGTTCAGATCGATATGTAACTATGCTTCATGGTTATCGACCCTCGTGCAGTCTTCTGACGAGGGTAAGTTAAAACAGCCTTTTTCCGACTTGAATGCTTCATTTCTATGACTGCAAATGTTTTCGTCCGACATTGGTTTACATAGAGAAGGTCATATTCTTACGAGATACAATCTGCCTGTAAAATAACCAGAATGAGGATACTCTCAAAGGAGCTTGTCGTTTTCTAGTACAGAAAACAATTTCCCGAAAACAATTTTTGTCATGACATATCGGAGACATCTTGAAACAAATACATAAATCAAGGGAGGTTCCGTGCTTCTCAATTGACTTCACGCTTACTTTACTCACCAGACCGACCACGTTGTATCCCAAGAAAAGCCACGTTTTCCTGCTGCCACTCGAGCTTCTCCAACTCGCCAGGACTTCTTCCGTGGGATGTTTTCGTACCGGTTTTTTAGACGTTTCTCGCTGTCCTCCTTACTTACTTACTGGTGTCAGATTTCCAAAAGATATAGTATGCAACTTTAGCAATTCAAGTATTGTACTCTGTAAATCGAGCACGATCCGACCCTCTGATGTGGCTGACCCTCCCGGCGCTTTTCGGATCAGAAAGGTTGGGACAAGAAGCGAGTGAGCAAGCGGCAGATCTTTAGTGAGAAGATAATTATTATGCTTAATGATTTGCATCATCAGACCCGAATTAGGTGTCCAGATTGAGCTGCACTCGTTGAACGGTAGTGCTAACAGTCGTAGTTATGGTTCAGGCCTTTTAATGAACTATACCAAAATGAAATCGAGTTCACTTTGAGTCCAAAAGATGTGACATGGGCAGTTGCTTTAGAAAGCTTTATAAAGAGTACTCCACGTAACGGACATCGATGTGAAAAGTTTCCAGGTCTGGTTACGTAAATCAGCTTTAAGTAGGGGTGTGGAGATCTTTTGCACATCGGATGAGCATGATTTTGGAACTCGGGCTAAGCACGCGTTCCGAAATTCTGTCTAACTGAACCTTTTGTAAGACACAGTGCAAGCCTTTGACTGACAGCCGTTATACTGGAAACAAAGTTGACGAAGGACAGACTTTCAGATGGCCGGGGAAATCTGTGCAAAGGTAGTGCAGGATGCTGATGCACTAGATTTGCATAATAAATTAAGAAGTAAACAAATATAAATAAAAATATGTATGTCTGCGAGGGTTGTTGGCTCGCATGGACACAAAGTAAGGAAGTGAAGGAAGTAAGGAAGGCCTGAAAATGTTCGAGTGCATACGCAATTGAGCGCCAGACTTTGATGATTTGTAATTCTCACTTGTCATTTACCTGCTTTGAGATCCTGGGCTGGAACTCATAACTGCAGGGACTGCTGTGGAGTTTGGTTTGGGTTTGAAGGCAGTGATTGAGTCACTTGCTGTGAATATTGTAAGCGCACATGAATGCCCAAGTCCTGGTCCAAACTCTAGTCGGCCTGAGCAGAATACAGAACCAGTGCTGCAAGCTGCTCCTGTTTATAAGAGGTCCCTTGCTTAGCAAACAGATTTGACATGTCTATATGATGGTTGTCATCATGGGGCTGCGCGTGCTGAAGTTGCTCGGGTGATGCCTCAGTCACCCTTCATCGTCCTCCATAATCATCAAAGTACATCATGCTCATGCGCTAGTGGGAATGAGAAGATGATCCTCGGACTCTGAATCTGTGACGAATGATTAGACGTGCTCTAACCTCGAAGGACCTCCAATGTTGAATTGGCCCAGAATGATAATATAAGGTTATTTATTTCATATCGTCGTCATCAGGGCCGTTGGACAAGAAGCTGAAATTTGGAGTGAAACTTTAGATCATCGTCTGTGCATTTGGGCCAAACTCCAATTCCATCTATATCTATTTCCTCTCCAGATTTGAACGTGATGATGATCTTCGAGGACAGGCCAATTCTGGAATGATAAATTTCGTTATTTTCTTGTTCCTCGGTGGTACCTGAGATATAGCATTGGCCTTGGCGACATTCCTTCTCGCTTGGATGAGAAGTTTTTCAACAGACTATGGGGCTGAACCTTCCGTATACCGTACGAACGAAAAGACCAATCAGAGTGTCGAGCGGGATGCCCAGTCAATTCCGCCAACAAAATTCACGAACATCCTTTTTAATCATCACGAGATAAAATTCAGCAGGATCGAAGGACGACCCCCGACATTCAAGCTCCATTCTCCGATGGCCATCAATCACATTGTTTGGCTCAAAAGGGCGTTGACGAATAGCCTTCTCAGCAGCAGCAGCAGCCGGACATTGAATACGGGGAATGGACCCACGCCCACCGAGCAGGATGCCCCACACGAACGCAGATACAGGTTGCAGAGTGGACGCTGGGCTTGGAGCCAGTGAGATGAAGCTGGTACGTGGGCAGAGGCGGTGAGAACAGAGAATGGAAAGGCGTGAAAACTCTGGCCGGCCATGCAGGCTCTGACTTGGACCTCACTCAAAGAGGTCTTATCGAGATGATGATGGACCTTAAGCTGTATCCAGCTACAATAATTACACCTACTTCGAGCTCAATGTGTCCCACGTTCTTAATTGACCTCATCATCCTGGCAGCTGTTGATGGCGAGTGAAATTCCCAACACTAAGGCCGAAGTGAATTATGGCTTTATCCGAGAGACCTCGGACTCATTTTCAGTCGGAAGTCGGATCAGTCAAAACGTGATCACTGAGAACCGATTCGAGCTTAGCTCGAGCGTGGATGCGGACAGCGTCGTGGATGGCCTCTTGGATTTGAGTACAACCAGCTTCGTCGAAACAGCGAGGCACCGTCTCGCTGCATGCTCGTAAAAGATGCATTACAAATTGGGCTTCTTCTCGATCGATCAAAATACATCATCTTGAATCATGCACATGGATGCAATGATCCTATACGCTTCAAGAATCTCGTCTTACCGGACATCTACTGACGGTGAAGTTCACTTTCACTCGTCAGCGACCAACCGAAGAGTGAATTCTAGTGCATTTATATCGATGACAAACAAAGAAGTGCACTAATTGCATAACAGAAGAGTTCTCAGCTTTGACTGCTGAATTTGGAGCCCCACCCACCCACACTTAACAGGAACGAGGAGATGAATACATTAATAATGGACATAGTTTCCGGCCAAATATCAAATGATCAATGTCGCATGCATACTGGTCGACTTCAAGGTCACCGATCATGATCACACTAACACTCTAGACAGAGATTTTCTCTACAGTGTGCATCGACCGCATATTGCCAGCGAGGAAGGACACCAGCGCGACCGATAAAATCAGATCACAATCGAGTGCCGTCATACTCCACTTTTCTCTCGAAAAGTGAATGAAGCCGAAATTGGAATGCAACTGCTGAAAACCGGTATAATGACAGCTATTGCAGTTCACAGCAATCTGAGCATAAAGTACATGAGACCGAACCCGGGTTCTGATATGGCACATCTTCCGCACGGGCGTGGCGTCGGGCTTATCCATCAGTTCTTTACTACGATCGAGCCATTCGGATTGTTATATCGTTTTCCTCTTCACCATGGCTAGCGTAGCACTTCGTGGGGATGCAATTCTCCCAATGTGTCGATGGACTACATGGCGAGCTTGAGGTCAAGGAAGGGTTCGTACGATGAGCTTCCAAGACGTCATGTCCGAGAAAAGAAGTCGAGGGCACACATTGACTTCTGCGGATGGATAACTTTGCATGAGTATAAACATTTGAGCTTAAGCCCGTCGTCGTAACATGGACAGCTTTAAGCGAGGAATCTGAGGTGTGGCACATGATGAGCGCTGGCTTTATCCACCTATCCTTGGCCTGCATGTCCATGCTTTGGAGCATTTTTCTTTCATCGGAAGAAACCTGTGAACCTCTGAGTAGTGCAGCTCGAGATTCCACTATGGATCGAAAGTTCAGATATGTCATCACACGCGTGTACTTTTATTATTATCTCGGTGTGATGAGGTCGCAGCCAGCTTTATTTGATTTTCGAGATGGTCAGTGGATGACATTCCAGCCAGTCCAAAAGGGAGTGCTCCGTGCTGGGATCAGTCCTTGAGATAAACTTCATTCCCATCAATTTCAAGTCCATCTTCCCATGCTCGTTCCAAGGAGAACGAGCCTGATGAAACTCGAGAAAGATTCAAATCGGCCAGCAATCAACTTCCATTCTGAGATCTCTGAGCGGGTTAGTGGTTCATGTTGCCATAAGAAATTTCTAATAGTATTATCCTGTGAATATTTAGTTTCGATATTATATCCAATGCCATGAAAAAGCCTTTGTCATGAATCCAGAAAGTGATGCAATCACAGCGGAGCGATATTCTCACTGGGCAAGGTTCTAAAATTCGAAGATTCCAAAAGCCTGGCCATGAGGTATCCAGCTCTACATGTATGCTCATGTAGGTTTCAAACTTAGGTTTTCTTTCGAAGGAGAAGCTGTACACTCCTCTGTCAAAGGAGATGGAAATGGATTGCTTCCAGATCCGGCGAGGGATCGCAGTCATAAAAGCTTCTCGATATAACCCAACACAGTAATCAGGCTATCGATGGCATGTACGCACCCAGACACTGGCGAGGAAAACATGAGCACTGTAGGCAAGCACTGTGACCGTACTCCTTCTCATGATGATGGCCCGCCCGGCTCATTTGCCATCCTCATTATTCTGTCCCGTGCCTGCGTGCCATACTAGCCAATACCAACCGTGGTCACATGAGCAGATTCGGTTTTGCATATTACTGTTGCTCCTGCTGGTGCTTGTGTGGGCTCTACGAGCGAGCGTCGTCGATCCTGTTCTGCCGCCTTGATGGTTCGCCACAGCATGTCCTCTCCTCTCTCTTCTCTCTTCTCTCTGCCTGAGATGTCTAGACTGAAGCTCCAGGAGGAGAGGGAGCAGAGATATGGAAGGATTTGGCAGGCTTCTGCTTCTGCTTCTGCTGCTGCTGTGTGTCGGATCATGAGAAGGTCCGGCCGGCAATGATGCGATTCGAGTGAGTAGATTTCACCTCGTCAGGTGTCCATTCGTAGGCCACTACTGTAACCCAAATCCGCAATGCAGCTGTTGCGATGCTCCTCCTGCTGCGAATGGGAAATTAAAGTGGCTCTTTTGGCTCTTTCGCCTCCCTCCCTCGCCTTTTTCTTCTGAGGCCAGCCCAGAGGAGCCAATCAATCTCAATGCGCGCTTCGAGATCCATGATATAGAGATGCACCAGCTGCGCTGTGCTGTGCTGTGCTCTGATACGCTCAAAATGTATAACACCTACCGCCACGTCGTCCTGCTTCTTCTGTCTAGCGCATGCCATCTCTGAACGAACCTTGAGCCGAGAATGTTCAAAATATCTACCTGCACTGAACTGCAATATGCGGCCCACGTGAAGCGCGAATGAGTACTCCTTGACTCAACTTTTACACACACTGCACATAATTCAGCTAGTTCAGAATTCAAGCAGCCACCAGCAGCAAATCGACAGCACACCAACTCCGGCGTGCACAGGAGCTAGACAGGCAAACACCGTCCCACATTATGCGATGCATGTTCCCAACCACACCTGACGGTCCGTCAGCAGAACTAAGTTTCGGTCGGATCTGCCACGATTTATGAGTTTCCTGAATTTGCACTAAATTTGAGAAGATATGCTTCTGTCGGTTGGTCCGACTGGAGGCGTTGTTTCATTTTAGGTGCTCGAAGTAGCAGATGCAGGTCGAGACGGCTCCATGGCTACAAGAGAGCCTCTCAACAAGATCTTATCAGAATAGAAGCCCGGATTCATTATATGATTCATGTGGTGACCTCTTATCTTACGTACTGCTGCTACCCGGGCTGCAATCTGTTGTGATTATATCATCGTCACCACACTGTCATTAGCAAGAACTGCCTGTACAATAATACAAGATCCAAACCTATCGCCTCTCAGAATTTAAAAGAGGATGATTTCGACCAACACAACCTGTGCTAGGCTAAAACTACAACTCTGCCCATACCACATCCTTCTCGATCATCAGTCGCAATCTAGCATGCAACATACACGACTCGAAATCCTTGAAATTTGAAGATCGAGTTTCTAGGCTGCCGTCACAGGCATTCAGTCGGCATTACATGAGGCCAACATCTTGAAAGCTGTCAGATGGTAAAAACAGGAGTGTCGGATAAATCTGAGCTTCGAGACATATCAACGCCAGAATTTGGAGGGACAGACTTTGGCATGGAAGATATCAGGTTTCATGCCAAAGGACCCACGTCTGATCAAGATCCAACATGCAGACATGACATCTCAAGGCTCGACATCACAGGCCGCCTCTCTGTGGCTTTCCTTTACAGCGACCTCAGATTTGATTTTCTGAACGGGGCTCTCGTCCAGATCTCAGTGGTATGAACATGAGCTGATGAACCTCCTCCGAATGACAGGCGTGGATCAATGATCGCTTCCACGTAGCTCAAAGCAAAATGCAAATCGTGGGCCTCCTCCAGCACCACAAGCAGACAAATACTGCCATGTGTGAGCAGTTGATCATGGGCTGCAAACATATCAATGAAAACAGTCCTCGTTCTTCTCCTCGCCCACGAAGACGACGTCACAGAATATGAAGGTAACGCAAACGTGGCATTCGCAGGCCCGGAGGAATGGACATTTGTGGATTGTGCGAGATTTGTATTGAGGAGTAACATTGTTGTTACTCCCCAACCAACGTCCAGAAGCAGCTTCTCAAAGCGAGATGGTATACAAATCGATCCATTCCTTCAGACCTCAAAACCAACATTCATCTGGCAGTTGTTCGTCATGTACACGAGTCGGAACCTCCTCTTTCATACGACACATCGAGGCGAGTTCATGAATGCTAGACATGAATGGGACGGTGAGATGGTTCAGAGGTGCACAAGCCCGATTGAATGAATGTACTCGCTTCCTCGACGATGTGACAAGCGGTTTATTCGCATCGAAATTATCCGCATCCGTTTACAGAATTTTCTGGACACTGTTCGCCCCTACCTGAGTGGAAAACGGGATGGATAGCCACGAGAGTATAATATAACTCTGGCTTCTGATGACAGGTGGGCTACAATGTGTCTACTCCTCTCATCTAAGGTGTGATCCGAGTTCTTGCGAGCCAGTATGTGTAATTCTCAACCCCCATCGGAACATCTAAATCTATCTATCTATCTATAATTCTATCTAGAGCCGTGGAAAGAGAAATGTTTTATGGGGGATTTAAATCTATGTCCCGAAAATAGGGTAGGGCTCTCCGACATTTACAGCTCGATTCACACTGTTATTCACACAACTTGGGAAGCTATTCTATAAAATCTCCAAAGCTACGGATCAACGCAGAGGGTGGCCCTCGATTGACAGAGGCCGAACTGCTGGAAGCTGGATGATTGTTACGACTTATTCCAGTAAAGTGGATCAGATTCAAAGTTCGTCTGCATCAGGAGTCGCTCCTTTAGATGGATCGGAAATATTGCCCGCAAGGAGCATGCGAAAGTTCAGGACTGTCTGTCTTGAGAGATCTGATTTTCAGATTTCGATCGACGCTCGCTCGAGCTTCAACTTGTCACCGAGCCCGTGGCCATGGACGGGACGGCATATCGTGGTACCATTTTCCAGGAGGTCAGTTCGGATCCAGCTCCTTTCTGTTCAGTATTTCTTCGTTCAGTCGATTCGAGGGCTCGCTGGAGCCAAGCTCCTGGTGTCTGAAAATGGAGCTCGTGGGCGAGGTCAGGTCATAGATCCACTGTGACAGTTTGGGGCGCTCCATATCGATCAGGCATGTGGAAGGTGAGCATGCAAAAGTTTATCATGGCGTCGTGAGTTGTCCATCGGCCGACGGAGGGATCATAAACCTCGAAAGAATCGGCTTTGGAATTCGCCCGCTGAACATAGAATTTCCCCTCGACCACCTCCCCTGTGCAAGGTCCAGCCATGCTGCACATACTCGGAATCGGGGTCCAATGTCCTAACCCGAAATCGAACACTTCCGCCACCGACAGTGCCTCGCCTTCGCCGTCGAACCCACCGGCCACGATGAGCTTCGAGCCACTGGTCACCGAATTCACGAAGGCTCCCACCGCGAACCCGAAGCGAGCTCGACGCATGGGCGGCAACTGGAACCAGCAATTGTTCAAGGGCTCGTAGACATCCACTCGAGAATAAACGATCCATGCCTTGAGTGTCGACTTGCGGCAGATCAGAGGTGACCTGCCGCCCAGAATGTAGATGAGGCCGTCTGCTCCGGCTGCTCCGAATTGTAATCTCTGGGGTCCGTCCAGGGTTGCAATCGAATCCGTCGCAAGCGAGCGAGAATCGATGTCCCTCACTTGGAGCCCTCGATAGCTGCCGCTTATGTACTCGTTCTTTATGACGAAAGTGCAAGTCTGAGTCAATCCCAGCGATCTCCTGAGGCAGCGCAGCAACTGCGAGCTGCCCAGATTCCGCCACCTCGTACACACCACTCTCACCATGGGCAGATGCCTCAGAGGCAATCGGGCGAAGCAGATCTGCAAAATCTCATCCGGCAGATCCGAGATGCCCGTTTTCGGCTCCATTCCCTTCACGCCCACCGACATTTGGGCGCTCAATTCGTGCAGAAATCTGTCAGTCAACAGGAACGGAGGAAGAACGATCGTCATTGCTTCCTCTTCTATGCGACCGATGCAATGCAAAATCTTATATCTCGTGTACGCTAGTGCGCAGCTGAGTCTGAAACCATGGACTCAACACATGCTGCTGCAGATACCCAGAGTCAGTCCGTCTGTGCAACCCTACGTGTCCTCGATCGACCTGCCGCGGGCATGCTCGTCATGCTCGTCAGGAAAAAGTTGTGAGCTTTCGAGACCCCTCAAATGGCACACGACTGAGAACCGTGCGGATGATGGATGACTCCCGCAGGATCGACGGCATCCGAAAAAGCCGATTTCTTGCCAGGTCTGCCAGAATTTCGATGGATATCCCTATCAGACGGCAAGCATGCTTTGATTATTATATCGAGAGCGATACTCACCGAGGGCTAGCGCCGTCAATGTCCTCGCTCTCAATGTAATACGGAACCAGGATTTCTCGAGCGACGAAACTGACGCTGTCAGCTCGGGGACATGAATGAAGATCACGGGAGCCCGTCAAGGCTGGACGGAGCATGTGAAGTGGATGAACATGGGGATCACGATTGGTGAGTTCTGGAATTAGGGATTGTAGTTTGTTTAACATGAAGGATGGAAGTTGCGCACAAAGCCTCGGCGGCGGAGTGTTGCCATATTCATGTGAATGCGCAATTTGTATCATGGGTGCAACAATCGATCACACCGGTAACGCAGGTGACAGCATCTTATGCATTGCGTGTACGAAAATGAGTAAATGCCGCAATAGCCTACGGGATTCTCGTGTGCTTGCTCAACAACTGATCTTACCTCCTTGGCAAAGCTCTCCGCACGATGATGCACTGAAAGCTCCAGAAACTGTAACAATCGTCGGAGGAATCAAGACTGCTCCAGTCCGATTTGCAGCGCCTCCTTCGGCCATTCTACTCGCGTGTACATTTCTGAATGTACGAAGGGCAATTTGGACGAGGTCAGCGTACGTGTACCACTCAGACTACTGCTACTGCTACTGCTGCGACTACTGATGAAAGCGCTGCTGCTTCCCGTGAGCTGATCTCGAATTCTCTGATTCCCAGAAAGAGAAGAGAAGAGAAGAGACGAGAAGCTTGTCCGGCATACAATCTGAGGACATTCACACCATTAAATCTCGACTCGACTGGCGGTGGTATTCAACCTGTCTGACTACTATCTACTGTGGAGATCCTTCCCTCCAGTCTCCCTCTGCACACACGAGGACGATCGCCTACAACACATGCCAGCAGTTCATGTCTGAGAGAGAGAGAGAGAGAGAGGGAGGGAGGGTGAGATTGCAAGCAAGCTCGACGGCCGAAGGTTGGGAAAGGGCTTGTTGGATGGTAGTCGTATATAGGCTCTGAGACGCAGCAAACAAACTGCTTGTTCGTCGTATCTTACAAATGCGGAATTATTTAGTGTACGAAGAAGGAAAGGAAGGGAGTTGCTTGTAGGACCTAGCTAGTGCCGACAACCTGGCACTCGTCCCAATATGCCGGGCCGCCCAAGCTAAAAAGCTAAGCCCTTGCCTTTTGCGCGACCGTACTGACTGGAGCTGGCTCTTCCGTGCCCCTCGCGAAGAAAATCAGCACCAAAAGTGCGCGGATAGATATTCTTCCCTTCCCTTCTCTTCGCCTGGTGAATCTGAGTGATGCTCGTCCGCCACATGACGTCTGCCTCCCTCCTCTCACTCTCCAATCTCCAATCCCCGTAGCCCCCATCGAAATTCACCTTGTTACAGTCACAGAGGACTCAGACACTGCGCGACTGACGGTTTGCAGTTGTGCAGTTGATTAGAGCGACGTTTGTTGAGTCTGGTCTGGCAGATGCTTCTTCTTGTGACTGTAATTGACTTGACTTGCCATCACTGCACTCACTCACTCACTCACTCACTCGGGTGCATTTGTCCTGTCCCACTTCACAGTATAACCCACCAACTCACTCCCTTCTCACTCATAATTACTAGCTCCCGGAAACAGTTGCACCCATTGCATCTGCGTGTCACCCGATTATTACTTGCACATCATTCTTCGTGTCCCTTTTGCCTTCTGTCCTGCACTGTCCCGTATCACTGCAGCTTCTCCTCTCGGACTCACTCCTCTCCTCTCCTCTCAGAGTCTTCCTCAACACCGCGTTTCAATTGCTCGTAAGTGGATGCCATCAGTTTATTCTCTTCTCTTCTCTTTAGAAGTAAAAGATTTAGTAGATTTTTCTTTCTTTTTTAAGGAAGAAAAGAAAATAATTATTGTATAGATTTATCATATATATCTTTCGATTTTTTCCTCTCTCTCTCCGACCGCATCATGGCCAGTGGGAGTTGTGGTTGCCTAGACTTTTCGGAGGTGCAGAAGTTGACCTGGAGGGAGGGCGGCAGAGAAATATTTGCATATTTGCTCGTGATGGCCTCCCTAGATGGGGAGAGATCCCCAAGCGCATAAAATTAGCTGCAAAGGGTTGCCTTTAAGCCCGAAGGGACGTAAAAGGTGTTCCCGGTTCCGTTCTCACTCATTGACGTTGCTGCCGGTGCGCGCAGCGCATGCTCCATGATCAGCGGTCACCCGTCACCGGTTGGGTCCTCGTATCCCGGAACTTTGAGTACGTCCGCCCAGGTCATTACTCTCCGACCTGGCGACAAAGACAGAAAGATCGAGAAATTGAAAGCATGATATTGACCATGAACGGCTTAAATAAATCATAGTCCAAACACCCTACACTCTTAAAGCAACTTTTCAGAGTTTTATTAACTACTCTTTAGGAACGATCATGGATGGAAATTCGAAGCCTGGCCTTTGCCTGGACCAAATCAATTGTATTTTATGATTGAAACCAGTTAACATTGGTGGCAATTCTTCCACATTTTTTGAGATTTTAAGATCCATAGAATGCAGTCTTATACTATCTATCTTGACGATCCACTAATTTTAACTTTCTCCCTATCTCTTCCAGAAATATATATGACGGAAAAACATTCAGCAGTCTCCCGCCTGATGCAGACAGTACAGCAGTCGCTCGGATCTACTGGCCACCAGCCAAATTTGAGCCGATAAACGGCTGGTCTCGGATCGTATAGACACATTTTTCTGCTTACTTGGAGACAAGCAGAAGACTTGAACGACGGTCTTCCCCAAGAATGTTCAGTGACGTCATTTCGCGCAGTGAAGTCAGCCGCGGCGAGTGCAGATACGGTGGTGTGAGAATTAGTCAAATAAGATCGACCATGGATCAAAGCTTGAATATTTTCATGAACAATATTTCATTTGTTCTGAAGTAAATGCATTACAATCAACATCCTCAACTTTAATATCCTTTTTTATAAAAAATGGATGAATCTAACCAAATCAATGAATCTTATCTTAATTGTATTGATCAATACAATTAATTTGATGATTTTTTATTAGACAGTTTTGTTTCTTTTTCATAGTTTGATGCATAATCACGAGATTTTCAATAATTTTTTGTTCTATCACACTGTGCGCTACGTAAACAATTGATCTTTTCATTCCTGTTTGTTTCTTGTCTTAAATTTGTCTTAAAATTCTTTCAATTTATGTCATTTTAATAAATTCATAATCATCATCCTCTCTTCAACAACATTAGAGAATAAATATTTATCTTTGTCACTGTAAAAGTGCAAAAAAGATATTATTTCCAGTATTTTAAAACCTTGCAATTTTTTATGTTTTTAAATCAAAATCTTGTTGTCATTGAAATTTTGAATAAACTAAACTCCAATTTGTCATTGAATCAAACTGAAGGTTAGTACAACCAATCAAAAATTTCTATACTATCAAAACTAAGATCAACTCAAAGTTTTTTTTAATTTAAAAACTTCAAATTTTAGAAAGGTAAAAAATAATGATGCTCATTGTGATTTTTTATATTTTTATATTATATTTATTTAATTATTTATATTTATATTAATGTTTTGGTCATAGTTAGAAAATTTAATACTAACTATGATAAAAAAAATCATCATAATCAACTTTTTGATTAACTCGACAACAAACATACTTATACAAGAAAGCAATTCATCATGTGCTAAGCAAATATGTATTGAATGTGTAAGTTAAGATAAACATGTAACATAACATGTATAAAATGTTATGTTAATCATCAATTAGAATAAAATGGATGAGATATTTTTTTATAAACCTGATACATATATTTATATACACAAATATATGGAAGAAAAAGATATAAATATTAGAGAAATATTTTTAAAATTTATGTTTGATCTTTAGCAAAATATTTTTTCTTTCATTCTAGTGTTTCACTTTAATCCAAACTCATATGACATGATTTTTGGAATAAAATTTTTTAACATGTGTTACTACAGATCACAAAAATTGACATCATTGACTTGTACGCATATGCATTACAAATTTACCTTAATATTCTTGCAAGTCTTCCAAAAAATTGATGCTTAAATAAAAAAGTATATCCATGGACTTGCAAAAGACACATTGATAAAGTATCTACATATGCTTATCATCTTTGTTTCTGATTCAGAACCAGCTCTACTTAAGATTTATCTTTAATGTTCTTTTGATATTTCATCATCAATCTGAAATAATTATGTATTTTTTGATTTTCTTCCTCAATCACGCTTTCACACAATAATTTTCATGACAATTTCCAAATATACTGAAACTTACGTTGGAAAACAAAATTATTGATGAAAGATATATTTGTACAAATATCTTCTCCAGATTTTTTGAAAAAAAATATTTCTTTTTAATATTTTTATTTATATCATTTTGAAATTAAGTGTAGTTAATAATTATTTTTTTTTGACTACATTTCATTAATTTTTATCTCGAAAAAAGAGCTATCAATAAAGAAATATTACATAAAAAATATGCTTGGCATAATTAAAATATATAAAAATTATAATCTTATTACATGGAGAGAGCAACATATTATTGTAGATCTTAAAATTTTCAAATATTCAATTTTTCATGATATCAAAATTAACATTTCATCTACTCAAAAAATAAATTTTTATTATGTCGTATCAATTAAGTATTAACATGTTAAATATATTTTATGCTATGAAATCTAATTCTTGACAAAAGAAAAAAAAGTTATTTTCATGCCTAAATCATTAAAAATTCATGATTCTTTCATCTAATAAATTATTAAAAGCTATTTTTTATCATAATAAGTTAAAATTTATCATGATTAAAAGGATTAAAATCAGGTTTTTGATTATGTCACAGCAAATTCAATCATATAATGCTAGATTATTGAGATCAAAGATCACATCAACTTTCAGATCTAAATCAATTTTTTTTTGTGATACAAAATTTTAATCTCAATATTCTGAAACCTATTATAAAAACCATATTAATTTTTTAACATCAACTTTTCTTTAATCTCCACTTCTTTCCTGCTACAATGTTTGATCAATTCAGCTTGTGTGTTGTTCAATAAGGTGCTATCTATGATCTCAAGGCTAATTCTAATTTGGATTCAACTTAGATTACTTTTGAATTTTGGATAAATTATTAAAAATTTATATTTGGTCTAAGTGCTTGTTGGTAGATATCAATTGACATTTTTTTTTCATTCAAATGTACCTTAAAAAATATTTTTTTTATCGTTAAAAAAAGTAATTACACTTGAAAATTCCAAAATTCTACTCTATGTATATTATTATTTTATGATAATAAGTCTTAACATTAAATAAATTCTATTAAAATAAATCCTTACATATTATAGCAATTTTTATTTAAAAATTACATGGCAAAATCTTATAGATCTATCTATATTTTTAAAAACCCTTTTACATTTATGCTGAGATGACAATACGTCATTAAAAAACGTTGCAATTTTTTTATTGTTGATGTACTTGAATTTTCAACTTGATTTACTCAATAATATCTGTCTATTTACTCAAATAAATTTTAACTTTCACCTAATCAAACATTTGCATGATAGAAATTTAATGTTTGATATAAAATAGTGATATTTAATTAAATTCTAGATTGTACTTCAATTATAACATCAAATACAGATCTAATAATTAAAATAATAAGCTATATATATGTATATTTCTGAAAATATATAATTATAGCCAATATTTTTGAGAATCTCACAACAAATAGTTTCATATAACTAAAGGTTTTACACTCAATATGTACTTCATACATATTTGAAATTCTAAATTGTTAATATTATCATGTCATGTGACTATACAATCTTATTCATAACAAAACTAATCTCAAAGTATGATTTTTGCAAAGAATTTTATTCTTGAACATACAAGATCCTTATACATCTAATTCAAAAATCCAAATTAAAGTTTGATTGTATCAAGTGTGATGAAGTTGCAAGTAAATTAAATCCATTTATATTTTCAATGCACATCTTGAACCAATATATATACTCTTTTTCATCAGCTTGACTTTGATCTACCACTAATCTAAAAAAATTCTTGTCTTATCAAGATTTAAA